CTGATAGAACCTGAACAACTCGACTGATGTTTGATTCAATTCATGCGGCAAATAAATTACTATTGAAGTCAGTTGTATTAACTTGGAAGAATTGAATTAAACTGCAGCTCCAGATCAGGAAATTGACTCTTTCTTCTGATTCTTTAATTATATTTATGGCGCATCAAAAGCGACATGCAGCAATTTAAGTAGCTACCGATGCATAGACGAATGAGTTTGAATATTTTTACATTAAATGACGCGCAACAGGTTATAAATGTCATAATAATTTGTTACTTCCGGAAGTCAATTTAACGTAATTGCATACCTACTGATTGCCCTTTGTGTTCCGAGTTACTGATTGTAAAATTATTAATGCTCACCCTTCCATCGCCAGTTGAAGCGTTGGACAGCGGAAACTTCGTTCTGTGACCATTTGTTGAAACATTTTAGATTTCTATCTGGTTAAACTCGTGTGTAATTCGATTCAAGCCTTTGCAGAATGAATCAGAACAAACAATTTTTCATAATTTCTAAACGTTGAATGATTCAAACTGCTATTACTCGAAACCGCCAGTGCGAAAGGAAAAGCTAATTTGCATACAAACTACTTCGCTTAAACATCTATTCCATTTTCAGAAGATTTAACTCAGGATTGCGCAAACCGTTACAAATAGAATATTATTTCTCAATCTGAATGGCTTTTAACAATAACGACGAATTATGGGCATTTTAAGTCCAACTATCGTTCTGGTCAGGACAATAATGTGGTATTTGCGAATGGTGTAAGCGCTGCGGACTGGGATAAACTTAGTGCACTCATTTTGCAATAATACAAAGGCGTAAGCAATAACTTAAATTACATTGTGAAAGTATTGCAAATGTACGGAAAATTTAATGAAATCGGCAAATGTGAAAACTGAAGGTTAAAACTTGAATTATCGTTGTAGACTTTAAAAATCGGTAAAAAAGCTCAAACTTGGATTCAGCTTTCAGCAAATTAGGTTTTTTCTGCTGAAGAACTTCATTTCAGATTTATCGACTTTATAAAGTGACAAATATATTTTATAAACTAATTCCTTCAATAGAATGACGTTCTTAGTCCACAGGCGCTTACTCCACATACAAAACAATGCAACAGTAAAAAAATCAAAGACATTGAGAGCGCAAAATATTAAACTTAATTAAACTTTGTGGCTGCACAGTAGCTTTGCATTGCAAAGTTAAATATTTTTCACAAATTGTAGGGTCTCGACTACAATTTATACGGAGTTGATGTGATTAGCTCAATAAGCCAAGCATGTCATTAAGAAAATTACCATCGGAAATACCTCGACCTAAACAAGATGACAGGGGGCATTTAAGATGCCATTCGCTTTGGATGAGAATAATTGATGACATAAATTATATCCGTTCAGGTTTGGTTGTATTGAGAAAGTAGGGCCTGTACGCGGAATGTCTCATTTATAGCCCAAGTAGAACGATTACAATTGGTTCCAACAAGTACGACAACCAATAAGCGGCTGAAAATTTTTCACGTGCCACGATTTTGTCAAAATTATTTAGAACTTATTTAGTTCTGTTCTTTCACGAAAAAGTTGCATACTTTTATTTGCAGAATACTTTCCAACAAAAGCGGCTTCAACGTAAACTAAACAGTAAAGGTAGAGAAACATGAACATTTTCATAAAATAACGAAAAAAACAGTGCAGCTATACGGCAACTTTCGACTTTAGTCGGATATTTGGAAGACATAAGCTCGTCTGACCGTATTTTATCTTCGATCTGGAGGAGTAAGAACCAAAATGAACTGAGCAGGAACTTGAAACAGACAGCAAAAGAAAGTGGACTAAATTATACTACAACCTGCCAACTACTCTGAATCCATTCTAAAGGTGGACCAAAAATCTCAACCAATAGTCAGATGTTGTACAAAGCAAAATATTTTAAATCGCTTAAACAATAGCAAGAAATCCAGAGACAGAGCCAAGACACAGAGAGCAAAGAAGGACTTGAAGGAAAAGGTCAAGAAGCACATGGGAATGAGCATAGAAGCACTCATAAAAACAGTATCAAATAAAATGAAGAAATAAAATGAAGTTGTACTGAGCAAAAACTGTATCAGCTTTTTGTGAAGAAAAGGTTCTGGCAAAATTAAACTAACACCCAAAATGCTGAAATCATGTGCATAAAAACTATTCAGTACGTGCAAGGAAGTTACTGTTTGAAACGGAAGTCTCTAGAACAAACAATGTTTTTAAAGAGTTTGAATCGGCAATTCTTGCCTTCTTGGTTGTTACCCACTCAAACAGCTCCACCAACAGCCAGGCATAATAATAATATTTATTCTCATCTACAATTTTAAACAATCACAAGGTTATTTTATATTAACTTTATAATACTTGACTTTCATGACCACAGATGAAACACGAAAGCAAGAGCAAAATTATAAAAAATATGTAAATTTAAATACAAAAAATAGACATGAAAGTTTTAATGTTGTGTAGGAATTAAGAGAGAATGTATATGTCCCGTTTTGGGATATTTGAATTAAATTAAATAAGCACAGAAGTTAGTCTGTTGTAAGCAATGAGCCTACAAGCCTGGCTCCTGGTTTTGTTCAACAAACAATCTTACTTCTTCCTTGAAAATATGTTTTTCAGGATCTTCTTATTCCTGCTGGTTTTAGACTTAAACCGTTTTCGACCAATGTTAGTTATACATTTAATG